ATGTATAAATACAACTTTCCTCAATGTAGAATTTATGTTTACCGACAGAGGTGGTATTTAGCAGGTTCTGACCAGTTCTGGAGAACCGGTAGGGGGAAATTTGAGTAGTTCGGCAAATACCACCTCTGACTAGCCCCGCCCCCATGTATTCTCTACCTGCCGAGTCCCAGCTGATTGGCTGGGTCTTCTTTTGTTGCCCTGCACAGGAGAACGGAGCTGGAAAGCAGGTTAGTGGGGTGGGGAGGGAATGGGATTTTTATGTAACCTTCCCCTAGGAGTGGGATGGGAATGGAGATTTTACAGTATCCTTCCCCTGCCATGCCCACCAAGCCACGCTCACCAAGCCATGCCACACCCACCAAGCCATGTTCACAGAACCAGTAGTAAAAAAAATTGAATCCCACTACTGTTTACTGACAAAGAAATAAAAGGGAGATTAGTACAGATCTTCTATTTCAAGCTATTTAGCTCTCATCAGCTAGCCATACCCTTCTAGGAGTCAAACCCAGGCTATTTGCATATTAGGTAAATGTATTAACCTCTAAGTCATGGGCTCTCCTTGCTTGTTGCCTCTACCAGGGTAGAAATTAAGTGTTTTTTCTGGTGAGACTGGTCTATCAGGGCAACCTGGTCTACCCAATTATGGGGCAGAGCATATTGCTTCCGCTTTCTCCTTTTAGCCCCAATCCAGGAGCCTTTGCAGGCAGTCACTTTTCACGACAAACTATGTTTGTGTTGAATTTATGTTTACCGACAAAGAAATAAGCTAGCCATACCCTTCCGGGATTCGAACCCAGACTACTTGCATTTTATGACCATTTTTAACACTTACGACCATTGCAAGCATCCCCCACAGTCACACGATCAAAATTCAGATTCTTGGTTCATATTTATTGTCCTGGGGTCACGTGATCAACTTTTGCGAACCTTCTGACAAGCAAAGTCTATGGGGAAGCCAGATTCTTACTAACTTAACAAATGCAAGGATTCACTTAACAACTGTGGCAAGAAAAGTCATAAAACAGGGCAAGACTTACTTAACTAATGTTTCACTTAGCACATACATTTTCGGCTACATTTTGGTCGTAACTCGAGGATTACCTGTACTCCAAAGAACACCTGAATTCTGTTCTGCATAGTAGTATGAAAAATGTGGATGTGCCTTGACTCCAAGCCTGCTCTGAGTTCCTGGAAATACTAATTTTTGCCTGGACCTGTTAGTACCAGGCAAATCTTCTGAACTTTGATTGCTGCTATTGAATGCCTTGTGTTGACTCCCTAATCGGACCTTGACCAAGTTTTTCCCTATTTATTTATTTTTCTTAAGTTGTCTTTGTTGGTCTTTTGACACTAGACTGTTTGACTCTGCCAGCAAAGAGTCAGAAGATTCTGAGAGGGCTGTAATATTGTGAAAGACACTAAGCCCATTGAGCTGTCATTCCCCCACCGAGTGGGGAAAATCCAATAATTTCAGGTTGCTTGTTAGAAAAAAATTGACTGTAGCAGTAAGAAATTATATAGATGCATGTTTTAAGTAGAGGAAGCATAGAGATACCAGAGCCATAAAAATATTCTACAAACTATAGTAGGTAAGGTAGAGAAAGAATCAGAGAGCTTCAATCTTTGGCAGGAATGGACAACTTTTGAAAGCTTAGGGAAGCTGTTCACCCATCAAGGCCGCAGAAAGTATCTGGTGACATCAGATCATGACGGGAAAGGTCACGGCCAACATTTTAAACTGCAGGGAGGGGGGATTGTAAGGCGGATATGGGAGTAGAACAGGGGTCCCCAAACTTGGCAACTTTAAGACTTGTGGACTTCAACTCCCAGAATTCTCCAGCCAACTATGTTGGAGAATAAAAGTTATTTTAACATAATACATATATTGTATCATGCATATTTTAAGTAGAGGAAGCATAGAGATACCAGAGTCATAAAAATATTCTACAAACTATAGTAGGTAAGGTAGAGAAAGAATCAAGACAGCTATGCTGGCTGGAGAATTCTGGGAGTTGAAGTCCACAAGTCTTAAAGTTGCCAAGTTTGGAGACCTCTGGAGTAGAAGGTCTCTGAAAGCAAGCTGCAATTATTAATCTTATGGCAGCATATAAATGGAATTAATGAATATGCACACATATCAAGTTCCTACATTGCTACTTGTAACAAACTGGGTGTACATTCCATTCAGTAAGGCTTAATTCAGATTATACCCATGTTGGATTATCTGGCAATTGATGCATGAGTTCTGCTTTTACAAGTAGGGAAATAATACATTATGTGTACTTTAATCGGTGTTGTTGTGCTGTCTGCTATTATTATTTCTTTTTTTTAATAATATTGTGTTTTGTTGATGGGCAAGGCTTTCAAACCACAGAAGCTGTGAAAACATTTAGCAATCATTTCAAGAATACAGGCTTTCTACAGCTTTCTATAGCTTTGTCATCTGCTTGCAAACAAAGCAACTTCTCCTTGGCCTTTTCTCCAGTGCTCTTCATTCTGGCTCCTTAGAGAGCATTCCTTCTCTAAATTGAAAAGTATCCAATGCAATTAAAGAACAGTGAAAATCCACACATTTCACAAAACTACTTGGAAGAATGCTGCAACAACAACTGGTGGTTTTTGTTTTTGTTTTTTGTTTTTGCTATTGACAGATGGCTCCTGTTTCTTTGTGATGTGGACAGGAACATCTCAAAGGGTTAGGGAATGTAGGTTATTTTGTTTTTCAAAGGAAGTAATATTTCTCAGTATAATGACAAGAAGTAGCAAAATGTATTTCGGCCCTTTAAGAGTCTAATTTTTCAAAAGGGGCCACAAATGTTGTCCATCTTAGCTACAATCAATGCATCACACACAGACAAGGGATTAAAAAAAGGAAATGTTTATTACAGCATATCAATGCATTATATTAATTTATAAAGCAATATGATTTATATAGAGATATAAAATACAGCTGCTTAATGATGTACAATTATTGGACACAAGACAGAAAAACTGACACAACTGACACTCATGCTTTTAACATGCATATTTGTATAAACTGTGAGGAAAAAAAATACACAATACACTTAAAGGGACTTTTTGGATTTTCCCCAAAGTCAAAAGGAAGAAGTGTCAGACAATTGCCATTGTATTGCTGCAATTGCAATAGTTGTAATTGCCATTTAGAATACTGAATTCTGGTTATTGCACCTCAAAAAAGATATTAGTGAGCTGGAAATGGTGCAGAAAAGGCCACCAAAATAATCAAGGGATAGGAAGCGCTCCCATACAAAAAAAGTTTCAATAGTTGGGATTTGTAGCTTCGAAAACCCTTATGAGAAAAGGGAGACATCTAGAATTAAAATGCTGGAATCTAAGATCTTCCTGAGAAACTGAAAGTCTGAGATTCAGGAAAAACAAAAGGAAGTTTATCATAACCAGATGAAATGGGATTGGTTTTATAAAAGTAATAGGCAAATCTCTCATGGACAAAGCTATCAACAGCTATTAGTCATGATGTCTATCTACCACCTCCAAGTCAGAGTAAACTGGCCTTTCAGTTCCATTGCTGGCTAACATGGGAGAATCGTATTGCTATTCTAACAAGCTTTCCCGAATTATTAGGTGAGTTTCTATGGGAAACAGGATCCTAGAATACTGGTTGATAACTCTTTAGTTCAGACCAGCCAAATTCTTATATTATAACATTAGAAGGGAAATGGAATAGAACTACATAGTAACTGAGTGGGATGTGCAAAAAAATCCCCCAACTTGACCTCAATGCATTTGTTCAAGACAGAAGAAGCTGTTGTAGTTTTATTGTCCAAGCTGTTATAGTTTTATTGTTGGCTTTTTATAAATTAAAAATAAACCAGAAACTGAAATCCTGCAAAACTAAACATCGACCTCTAGCATTGTCTTTATTTACTTTAACTCTTTATTCTTAACCAAAGAATTTTTAAAGGAGGAAAAAGAATTAACAAGATCTACAAGGTTTTCAGAAGTGAAATTATTGGGCTATATATTGCTATTCACTATTATTCCCACGGTTTAATTATAATAATTCATCAGGGCACCAAACATCTAAAGGTTGAAGATTTATATCTTCTGCAAAAATCTCAGTCCTAAAAGCACTTTTGTCTCAGGTGTCTAGTTTTGTTCAGGACAAAGCAAACCAAGGAAAAGTAGCACTAAACTATCTTTTTCAACCACCTCTCCACTTGCAATATTTACTCTTATTTGAAGTATTGTTTTAAAATCCCCACTTATGTACAGAACTACAAAACAATACAAAATACTGAACACATTTCTTTGACATATTAACATATCCAGCGATGGAGTATGAAAGCTTAGCATACAAATAGCATCTGAGAAATTGATATTTGGCAAGATTTGCATTTCCTTTAAAAAAAAGTCTCAATTTTAGAAGTTCAAGCACTTGAACATGGCTACAACTGGAATCAATGAACTAAAAATTCAGAAATGTTGCTAAACTTCAAGTTGTTACCAATATTCTGATTCAGTGGTCTTTTGGGGTTGGCGTTTCATTTTGAACACTTTTTCAGATTTTAAATCTTGGTTGTGAATGCTAGAACTTATTCTTAAAATTAAAAATGTATAGGAAATGTTTTTATGATCAGTGAAGTAGTTTCAACCCAAAGCAATCAGCAGATTAAATTAGAAATGAAAGACTGCAATCTGCCTGTCACTTTCTTTCCATCGGTTGCTAGAATTCCCATCAAGAATGCAAAATAAGTTCATTTAGTGACTGTTCGAAGTTACAACAGCACTGAAAAAAGTCACATGACCATTTTTCACACTTAATGACCTTTGCAGTATCCCCATGGTCGCATGATCAATATTCTGATGCTTGGCAATTGGCTTGTATTTACGACAGTTGAAATGTCCCAGGGTTATGGCATCACCTTTTGCGACCTTCTGACAAAGTCAATGGGGAAGCCAGATTCATTTAAGAACCATGTTGCTAACTTAGCAACTTCGGTGATTCACTTAACAACTGAGGCATGAAAGGTCATACTATGGGGGCAAAGCTCACTTAACAAATGTCTCGCTTAACAGAAATTTTGGGCTGAATTGTGGCCATAAGTCAAGGACTACCTGTATTTCAGGTTCCCTCCTTAAAGATGCTTATTCAAAGTGCTTGACCTTATACAAGTTTAACAAAGCAGGCTTAAATGGCAGAAGGCAGATCTTCCCACTAAATCTAAATCCTAAAGGATTTTGAAGTTTATGTCATTTGTTTCCCTCATCTCACTATTTAGATTGCCACCTCCTAATCCAATTTAGTATTCAACACTACTAAAGCTTGTGCACATTGGTAAGAGATGAATACGGTAATTCAAGAGGTAGAGCAACTGCCCCAAATTCCCAACCTTTTAAGGATTCTCAGAAAGTAACATTGGGAAAAGCCATAGAGCAGTGGCCTGGATGGGACATTATCTAAATTCAAGGCAGCTTTAGGTGTTTATGGCTCAATATTGAGGTTTCTCCTTTTGAAGGCAGTTCAATCCCTGCTTCTACATTTAAAAATCATCCAGGAGAAAATAATGGGGAAAACCTCCACTCAAGACTCTTGAAGGTAGTTTTAATTCAGAATAGACAATGCTGAACAACATGAACAACTAATCTAATCGGCGTATAAGGAGGTGTCAAGTGAAATCTTGAAAATGGTCTCCTTTTTTTGGAAATATAAAATGTCTGTGGATAATGGAGATAATCTGAAGCAGAGATTTTCTGTGTTAATCAGTGATGCCACATAAATCAACACAATGCTTACCAAGTTTGCTTATTTAAAAAATGTGTATCCTGCATTTCATTTAACCATCTTTTCCCACTGATGTTTCTAACACTGTTTTTAAATCAACATTTGGTCTAAGTCTTCATTTCTCTGCATCTCAATCAGCCCAAGCAGTAAACTGGTGTCTTAATCCTTTGTTTAAAAACTAGCACGGTGGCTTTTGTTCTTACCACTTAAAAGGCACTAGTGTTGACTCAAAAATATGGAGGTTCAAGTGACATTAACTAAGCAGTCCATTAAGACTTAAATATCTGCTCTTAAAAAAGCATTCTAGAAAAATTATTTACAAGAAGCACCTTGTTTTGTTTACCGAGGCAGATGTGTGTTGGTCATATCTTCATAAGACCTTTTTGGCAGATGACCAAAAGCAGTAGCACCAGAGAGATTCCAAAAAGGTCCATATAAGGCAACCTTCCCTAATGGGCTGAATTGCTGCTTTTCCTGGTGGCTGTGAATTTTGGGAATTGCAGTCCCCACACTAAAAAAGGTTAGAAAAGGCTGCCATCGATTCTTCTTTCAGTTTTCTGCTTATACCAGTTTTGTAATTAGCCACTTGCCTGATTGCTTAAGGCAAGTGAGAATGAGAAGTCTATAAACTTAAAAAAAGAGCTGAGTCTTTCCTCCTCCAGAGCAAGCCCTTGTCATGCTAAAAATGGTGCATCAGAAGAAGGAGATAAAATTTGGCCAGTGTTCTGTTATTATAAGGGTTTGTTTAAACTCTAAATCAGAGGTAGACACCCTGGCTCAAATGGAGTCCCTCAACATGCTTTATGTTGTCCCCAAGATTCCCACAAAATGAACTAAATGGACACTTTCAATCTCTGGCATTGTTTGGAGGATTTTTAAGGTCAGCTTTCCCTTTTTGGAGGTTTCAAGGTCTAAAATAGATGACTTAAATCTCCGCCTCAATTTACCTCTTAAAATTGCCCCCAAAGTCTTGAATTCCCCCTCCCCCCCAAAAAAACAAGCTACCCATGTTTGGCCCTGTCCCCAAAATGTTGTCATTCCTTCACCTTACATAACCTTAGAGTCCAACCTCTGAAGCCTGAAAAGATTTGGAAACCTTGAAACGGCACAACATTATCACCTTGCAGGACGTGCTCTGCCTCACTTGCTTGATCCCTCTGTAGTCCTCAGCCGCAAAAGTCGACCTACGCAAATGTGCACACTCCGTCACAGAAAAGTTGCTTGCGCTGCTCTTCAAGATGTTAAGGCAAGCAGTTCTAATGACAGCCGGTGAAAGGCTCTCTTGGAGTCAGCATAGCTGCACAGCTCCCAAGTCCTGAAAAAAAATGTCCCCAAGACCAGCCAGAATCCTGACACTCATTTCCCTTAGATATATACGTCTCGCCAAGAGGCAAGAATATTATCATTACTGTTATCATCTGCTTTTCATATCCGTTTAGACAGTAGTCATCAGTTTGAGAGAGCCAGACCGAAAGCGGAGGATTTTCTTCTTAAGGTTATGGGATGCTTTAATCTTAACAAAGGCTTTGGCTGCATTTTCATGGAGCTCCGAAGCAGCAGCCACTGCCTGGATGGGAAGTGTTTGAACAAACTGGGACCAAAGGAGGCCCCCGCTTTCCTCTGAGTCACTGGTGGTTGTGCTTTCACCAACAAACTCCACTCCACTTAAACTGGATTCGCTGTCCCCAAAGCAGTTGGTGGTATAATTGCTCCTTTCATCCTCGCTGGTGTCCACTACAGTGGAATGGAAGAGGGATTCACATTCAGCTGAATATTCTGAGTCACTGGCAACATAGGCATAGGGGCTAATAAAAGGATGCGGAACCTGTGAATAGACTCCTATAGCTTCTCTCCTGTTCCTCCTGGCCCGCCTAAGGGCATCTTCATAAGATACCTCCGTAGAGAGTTTCCAGCGCCGGTAATCCGCTCGCTTGTGCTTGGGCTTGGCAACGACTGGTTCTCTGCTATGTCCATGGGGCCTCAGCACAGACTTGAGTACGCCTGGCTGCCGACTCGGATGGCTGACATCTGGCTGAAAATGGAGACCTTTCTTCCCTCTCAAGGTAGTCTTTCTTGGCTTCTTATTTGGATCCAATTCATCCAGGAAGTGACACTTTTTGCCCGCAGGCTTGGCCCTCTCCCGCCCAGCCTGAGGTCCATTTTCTAGCACTGTGACAAGATGAGATTTGTGTTTCACCATAGAACCTTTGAGAATTTTGACACTCTTGGTGCCTTTGTGAAGTCTGACTGTTTGGGGCTGAGCAGGTATGAAGTGGGCATTCACTAGCAATCCCTCCTCCAAACTCTGGGATGATGACCCCTCACTTTTAAGTTCTACCAATGGTCTACTCTCCTGGCCTGACAAAACAGAGCAAGCTGACGGCATCCCACTACTACTTTTAAACGATAGCTTTTTGGGAAGCTGGACGGCTTTCTTTTCCTTCAAGGGTGTTACGTGCTGCCCTGGGCTTTCTTTAGGACATATCAAAAAGAGTTGGCCACTTTCCTTGGGAGCATCACTCTTAGTCACAGGGGATCGCATCGCTTCTTGAGTTTTGACGTTCTTCACTGAGGGCTTGCTTGGATCACTATTAGCATTTTGTGGGAAAACAGCAGGTGCAGGTATCTTTTTTAACTCCATATGCTCTACTTCCTTTGAATTCTGTTTTATGGGAGAAAAGGCACTGTTGTCTAGGGTGAGAGTGGCTCCACTGGAATGTGAAAGGGGCTGGTTGAGATTCTTAATGTTAGTGGTATTGCTAGGCGCGGCACTAGCCATCTGCCGAAGACACAAGCTTCCATGTCTCAAAATCCCCTTGGCCAGGTCTGCATTCAGGTTCGTTCTTGGTTTATTAGTCCTCACTGAAGGAGCCTTTTTTTGCACAAGGCTTAAAATATATCCATCCATTTTTCTGTTGGGCAAAGGACAGGATGGAGAACGAGAAGTGTGTGACGGACAAGAATCCACCGATTTTTCCAAGTTGACTTCCGGTCCAACTTCAACAGCATTGTCATCGGTTCTTTCTACTTCTTCTCTTGGGGGACAACTGGTCACCGGCAGAAGAAACATGGGACTCTGCACTGCTACAGCATGTAAAGGGCTGGGATAACGGTATACATCGTTTCCATTTTTAGATACCAGATCGCACTGGTATTTTGGATGTACATCTGCAACAATTTCAAAAGAATCTGCATGTGGCATTGATGGAGAGGCCATCCCCGCTTGGTCATTTTGTTGGGTTCCTTTGTTTTGCTCCAGCCAGCTGATGAAATCTGAAATTCAATGAAGTGGAGAGGAAATAAGTAAGGAATAACATTTGGAGGTGAAAGTGGAACTAATAACCTCCTGTTGAAATTATTATCGTTCGGATGAATCATAATACATGTCTTCAATAGTCCAGGATACTGTTTTCTATAAAATCTGGATTGGCAATTCCTACCTCAACATATTTATAAAGTGTTACATGCTGAGGATGATCCCCTTAGCCCACAGATTTGAGCCAGATTGCAAATAATAATACAATACAAACAAAGAGCTTTAATTTTACTTGCATATTATTCTTATAATATTCATTTCCTACCGATTTCTGTAATTCGCTTAAAAAAGAAAGGATATAAAGGTGGGGCTGAAGATATGTCCTAGTTCTCTCCATCCGTTACCAACCTTTGACTAAAGCCTATTTCTTTCTCCCATATCAGCTACACTTGGGGGGGGGGATGAGAATATGGAATCAGGGCTGAGCCATATTTTGTTTAATCACCTATTCTGCACCCAGAATAGCCCCAGCGGCTAACTTGATGGGTTGCACGAGCATGTATTGACCCAGGCTTCGTCAAATGTAATTAATCACAAACTTGTTTTAAAAGCAAAACCTATTTTATTGCAATCCTGGGAATTGTTTTCATTCCCAGCCAGATCTAATCTTAAATAGTTCCCCAAGATAAGCACACACCTTTCAGTTCTGTGGAATGCTGCCAAAAACAGAAGTATCCAATTAATTATAAAAGAAACCAACCACCACTTTGACATTTCTCTTTAAAAATCGCCGCTAAGGGTTTCCGGTTTGTCGGCTTCGCGAGCAGCAGGGATTCGCGAAGCTGCGCAATCCCTGCTGCGCTAGCCGCTTTTGGTGCTCCGATCCGGACGGGTCCGGAGCTAGGCTGCCCTGCAGGGGCAGCTGAAGATAGGGGGGATCCGGAGAGGGGTTTGGGGGTGTTGCAGACCCCCTCCCCGGCCGGCAGAACCCCCTTTTCCCAAGACGGTGCAGCGGCGGTCCGTAATGGCCGGCACAAAGAAGCTGGCAGCCGGGTAAGAATGTGCAGGAGGAAGTGGAGAAAGTTTTTGAAAAGAGAAAGTTTTTCTTGGTTCCCAGGACTCTAAGACATATTTAACAAAACTCCTGAAAATTATGACTTTCTGAATGATACCTTCTAGAAGAGGAAAAAAGCGGCAGTTTGGTGGTGCTGAAAGGAAAGTTTACTCTCCTTCCCGATGGAATTAATAAGTGGACATTGAGAAACCTGTTTTTTTCAGGTAAAACTAGCTTTATGGGATAAGTCGGAAGGGAGAGGACAAAAAATATATTCATCTGGTTTGATTTTGTTGGAGGAGATGCCTTAAGGATTTGAAGACAGAAATAGAACTCCAATAAGGCTTCAAAATACAGATTTGGACTTTCTTTTTTCTTTTATCTGATACTACCCCTGGAAGAGAAAGGGAGAATTTTGTCTTGGCTTGGATTGATTGAGGATTGTGGATTTTGGGATTGTTTTACTTTTTTTTGAAATATCTTGGTTGGTGTAAGAAGAAAGAGGGAAAAAAGAAAAGAAAAGAAAAGATCTATAATGGCTTTTTCTTTTGAGGAACTGAGGGAAGAATATGAGCAAATAAAAGCAGCCGGTAAAGATGGTATGGAAAAAGCCTTCCTATTTTTAGAAATGGCGCTGGTTAACTATCAACAAACAATACAACAGATGGAGGCAGAAGAACAACAAGAAGAAGAAGATGAAGACGCCATCTTTAATGAATTCCAAAATTTAACTAAGAAAGAAGGAAGGAAGAAAGCGAGGAAAATGAAGGACTTAAGATCTAAAAAAATGTTTAAGAAAGAGAAAAATAACATGCAAAATAAATATAATGATAGTAAACAAAAGAAAAAGGGAACACAACAGAGAAGGGATGCCAGCAAGGCAGAGGTTAGAAGAAGGGGGGTAGGAAGATTTGGTGGGGGAAGAAAGAAAGGGGAAAGGCGGAGAAAAGCCACAAAGTTTTGAAATTAGATGGGAAAAGAGGATTTTTTTTTTAGGGACAAAGGGTAAAGTACAATTTCCTTAAAAAAGATTTTGCAAGGTACATAAGATGGTATTGTAACATCTGTATTAGAAATAGAAAAATAGAATGGCTTAAGAGTTAATAAGAAATTAAAATGTTGAAATGTTTAACAATGATTGATTTTAAAATGTAATAAAATATTAAAGGGAAAGGCAATGGGAATGTTATGAGATTTAATATTTAGATTTATTATTTAACTATGTATTTAATCATTTTGGATTTATCACTTTGTTTTTATTGTTATTAAAAGAAAAAAATTAGTAGATAGAATGTACCAAGCAGAATCAGATTGGGTATTAGGTGTTATTTTAAATGTTAATCTAATTAATTTAGGGGGAGGATAGAAAGGCATCATACTCTGATTAGTGATTTCAGGAGAAATTCTTTTTTTTTTTTTATAAGGAATGAGATAGAGGGATAATAAAGAATGGGCAAAAGATACAAATATAATGATTTAAATTAAGATGGATTAAATAAGATAGAATTATGAAGAGTGAAATGTGTGGAGAAGTTTATATAGAAGATATAGAATGGTAAACAAAATAGGTAATGATACGTAAGATGAGCATGAATATAATTGAAGCCCATATAAAGAGAGGTACCTGGGGCCAAGTTACTTTCCTAAAAGATTTTTTATATGTTTGTTTGTTGTGTGTTTATGTTTTTGAGAGTATTAATAAAACCTTGTAGAAATACAGAATGAGAATAATGGTAATCAAGTCAGAAAGAAATAGATGAAATAATAATAGTGAAATTGAATAAGAGTAAAGAGAAGTAAAGAGAAACTGGATAAGAGGTATTTGTATGCTCATATGGAAATGGCTTAAAATAGAATTGTATTGTATAAAATAAAGTTTTATCTGACTTGTAAAATATATAATGGAAAAAGGTTCAAATATGTAATGGTTGATGATGATTTGTTTGTCTTTGAAATTAATAAAATTTGCTTAATAAAAAAAGAAACCAACCAAAGTACAAGAAAAAACCAATCAAAGAACACAGAGCTTCAAGGAAGACTTGGAACTGATTGAACTACTTTGCTTCCTGCAAAGGTTTCGTCATTTAGGTCTGACTTTTATCCCTTATGGGGGGGCAACCATCTCCCAGCTCCTTACTCACAAGTTGCTCTTTTTGTTTCAGCTGCTCTCGCCTTCTAGCAGCTCTGCGCACGCGTGCACTGGGAATAAGCTCCCCTGGGTCCTCTGGTTCACTGCTGCCAGACTCCAAAGGCTCCAAAGGCAGCACCCCACTCCCAGATGGTCCTGGCCCCATCCCTGCATTGGACACAGGGCCCTCATCCGAGTTCTCACCAGAGTCCCTGACTAATCCCTTTTCTTCCTCACTGTCTGATTCCACTGCCGGCTGCATCGGCTGCTGGCGAACCACAACAGAATATCCTGGCATATGCTGCAAAGGAAAATAACCATAAACATGCCTGGGTATTAGAAATTGTTGCTATACCTGCAGACTTGGGCCGTCCATCAGAGCCACTCAAGGATGCATCCAAAGAGCTGCAGAAGCAAGTACTGGAGTGACAACTGGATAAACATTCACTGAAAACAGAGTTGGACGAGTTGGAAAGCGATCCGGAAGTCCCGTCGCTCAGCTCATAAAACCCTATTAAAAAAGAAAAAGAATCCATTAAAGCTTCTTGCTGTTAGTAGCGTGTGGAAGGAATGGGGGAATCATCTAGCATACTCCTCCTGAACCTAAAACCCCATTCCAAATAAAACGGGAGTTTGTTTAAGAAAATGAGATGGACTACTAGAGGGAATGTAGCAGTTTGACAGAGCTGAGACTAGATCCCACATCTACCTCGTAATGAAACAACACACCTACTAATCTCTCGTTTCTTTTAGTAAATAAATGTCAAATGCTACATCTGAATACTGGCTATTGGTGGCTTTTTGTTTGGCAGACATACTGAAATATAGGACTGTAGATGCAATAGCTGTCAGATATAAAGGCCACTAAAAGTAAAGGGAGGCTTCATCTGATACAGTATAGACATCTTTCAGTTTCTGTATAAATAACTGAACCTCCAACTATAACTGAACCTGAATTAAGAAGCTGTAGCTAGAGTTCATGTCATCTGAGCAAGCAGAGTTTTGGCTGCAGCTTCCTCAGCTTGTTCCTTGTAGCATGACTGTTCCCAGTGGGATATAATTCCTTGGCAGTTGCCTTTTTCACACAAGATGGAAGGCATTTGACATTTTTATTTAATACTGGAGTTCTGTGGACCGTACCTAGGGATGTTCTAGATGCCCGGGCCCCCACAGAATGCCAGATTGCCAAGCCCCCTTTTACAAAACCTAAAGTCTGCTGATCATCATAGCCTAACGTAGCAACATAAAATGCTTACCTGAACTGGGACGGCTATCCATGTCAAGGTGTTCATCTGCTGTCTTTTCAACATCCAGCCTCAAATCACTGATCTGTTTGTCCAGTTCTTGCAATTGGTTTAATAAGCCTGCATCTCTTCTTCTTAAGCAGTTCTGAAATAATAGCCAGAGTAAAAACTGATTTCAGTATATGATAGGTTAAGGAAGAAGATATATATAGCAACAACATAAACCAATCCATTGTTGCTATATTCTGTTGAACAAATATTATTCCTAATAGTTTCTAGTTTGGCTTATTTTACTTCCCGTCCCAAAGGCAAAAAATTTCCCCACTCTATACCACTTTGCTATTCTATGGATAAACAACAAAGAAGAAAGGACTTAAGTGTGCAAGGATGCTACATACAAAACCAGCATAGATATGTAAGACATACTTCTGGTTTCCATATACAGATCCAAGGCTCTTTTTGTTATTAAGAAAGAGAGATTACTCTTATAGTAAGTAGCATTGACGTATCTTCAATTGTTACCAAAATTGTATTTCTGAGAACCAGTGACAATTATGTTTACGCATTTGTGACTATTCCCTTCTCTTGTTTCATCTTATCAAATGGTCGAATACTCATCGACACACACTCCCAAAATTAACATTCTGCCTCCAATTAGCCCCACTCTAAAAATGGCTTGATTCCGATTCTTTCTGAAGCTCACAAATTCCCTATATTTGTTTTTCAGTCATTTAGCCTATCTTTAAGCCCCTGGCTATATAAATTCATTCACTCAATCAATGAACAAGCGAACGAAGAAGCAAGCAAGCAAGCAAGCAACCTGATTTTCAAGCATGCTCCATGTGAACCCAGCCAAGGATTAGGTCATTTTCTGGAGCTCTTTTCTAGACCCTTCCTGCTCTCAGAAACACTGTGACTGAACTCTGAGATGAAAGTCTTTGCACAATGCCACTCCAGCTTTGGAAACCAGAAAATTTCCCCTAGTTGTGGCATTGGAGTCATATAGGTGGCCAAATTAACTCTGTCTTGTTCAACCAAGCTTTTGATTAATGGAAACCATTTTAATTATGGAGGGAAGGTTAATGCACACAATATTTATGCAACAACACTGATGCTTTATTTTTAGCCTATGGGTAAGGTTTTAGACTTAGGAAAGGTTATAATTGCAAATGTTTATTATAAGTTGACAGAAGGGTGTATTTTTGTAATGGAAAGGATAACCTTTTAAAATGAGGCAAGAAACTGAGTTTCATTCAAGGTAGCTAAACGCTGAACCCTTGCTGACCTTTTCCTGAACTTGCATAGAATTACAGGCTTACTGTTATAATACAGCTTTCCCAAGTCTGGCGCCCTCCAGATGTGCTGGGTTACAACTGGCAAAATTCCCAGCTCTGCTCTTCTGCAAAATAAGCCACCCAAGACAGGTATCTTGGTTGAATAGTTGAGGCTAGATATTAGCCCATTCTCCTTGAATGGCAATTATGATTGCATATCTTTGTTACATGGTGTTGTTGTGATTAGAACTAGCTCAATAAAGCTGAAGCCCAAGTATTAATCCCCTTCTTCATCCTCAGTTATAGGGAAAGGATTGGTTGCTTGAAGCAATAAGAGCATTTCAGTAAAGGATATTCTTCATGCATAAGTGTTACGAAATGAGTTTAAAATAAGCTCATTAACTCCAGGTCACAGCAATCAGTTTTCCTGCTGAATCTTATAATTATACCTATCCCTCCATAACACTGTTGCACAAAGCTCTTGTTTTACGTATATACTCTGCGTCTTCTAGCATTTCATTTCTCTGAAAAACCACGGTTCTCAGAAAACAGAAAAATGGGGAATTCACTACCTTGTAGAGTTCCATCTGGCAGGCCGAGTGTGTCAACGCCCTCTGATTCTTGGCATGCTGTCATTCAAGGGCAGCTTCGTGCAACCCAAATCACTTAATAGTCCAAGGCCATTTGTGAATGTGGAAGCCCTTTTTGAAGTATCACTTAAGGGGCATACGCTCAAGGTTTTTGCTCTGATTGTCATATTACAGCATACAAGTTTATGGAACAATTTGTGACCAACTGGGGGGAAGGAAAATCCACCTATTTTTCACTTTTTCTCCAAAGCCACTCTTGGTCTATGACTCAGGGGTCTTCAAACTTGACAGCTTTAAGACTTGTGGACTTCAACTCCCAGAATTCCTCCTCCAGTCATGTTAGCTCAGGAATTTTGGGAGTTGAAGTCCACAAGTCTTAAACTTGCCAAGTTTGAAGACCCTTGGTCTATGAGAAAGCTTGGAAGCAGAGAATAGCAATAGATGTATTTGGTACACAATCCAACAGAGTGTGTTCATCCATTGGTGTGCAATGGGAGAGGAAAAGAGAACCAGTTTGGTCTAGTGATTAAGGTGCTGGCCTAGAAACCAGGACACCATGAGTTCAAGTCCCACCTAAGGCAGGAAAGCTGGCTGGGTGACTGGACCAGTTACTTTCTCTCAGCCCATCCACTTAACAGAGTTGTTGCTGGAAAAATAGGAGGAGGAAGGATTAATTGGTACATTCACCAGCTTTAATTACTTACAAAATAATAAAGGCAGGATAAAAATCTAATAAATAAATAAAATAAAAACCTTTTCCTAATGAAAGAAGTCCTAATTGGACATGGGTCTTCTCCCTCCATTCAATGGAGTGTAACTTTTTTCTCCATTTTCCTGAAGGACAGAAGAAATATTTCCCATTCACAAAGGTTTCTGTTCTCTCTCTCTCTCCTCTCACCCTTTTGGCAGGATAAGGACAGTTACAGAGACAAAGCAAACATCTTGGTGATTATTTACACCCTAAGGGCAACCATATTATAGCAGTACATATACATATGTATACAAAATGTAGGCCTGGTCACAAATAAAGGGCAACTGTAGCAGTGCACACTCCCATTAAATTCCCCACTTCAATTCAAATCTATTTCCAGCCTACTTTTCCCTGATTGGTTGGATGCCCCCCAGGAGTATCTGCAAGGAATGTGTGTGGGGAGGGGGGGTATCACAAAAATCTAGATGGTGGCCACATTATGCATTCAAAGCCCTACCCAAACCACTACCATCTTGACGTTTTAATTAATCTATATAACCAAACTGTACACCAAGACAGTTAAATTGAAAATTCATTCAAACAGCATGCTATGATGAGATAGCATTGCCATGGATTTGGGTTTTTTTTTTTTTTTTTTTTTGTAGCTTAAGGAGTTATGTGAACTCAACCTGTTTGATTAATTTATGATTTGGTGTAGTGTGAGAATACAGAAAATGAGTTAATTTGGTAAGAAGTTAAAAAGCATGGTGTATGCACAGTAGCATATATCTTAACATCCTTAAAAGCAACAACAGAAAGTGGCAAATACTAACAGCCTCTATAACCCCCCAGCAGCTCCAAATCTTGTTCTGACAAACTGACATGGATAGAGAACACGTGTGTCATAAGCTTGGCCCTGTCCTGGACCAGTCCAGCTCCAATTCTGTATGTCAAAATACTCAATAGATCAACATTGCTGATCAAAAAAAGAGTAAAGAACAAGTAAAGCCTTCTTCTAGTCAAGTTCAACTGAGTTTGCATGTTGTTTTCTCAGAGGCTGTGTGGAAATGGATTGACACTGTCTTTTTCTGGGTGTTCACTTTCACTGACTTTCTGGCTTAGCCTATAGGTCTAGCAAGGATCTGAGGCCTCTATTCAAGTACTAACCATGTGTATCCCAGTTTACCTTTCTGAGATTAACCAACATCCCCCTCAGTACCAAATTATAACTGCTAATAAAACCTTTATCTCGTTTTTTCATTATTTCAAAAGCACCTCAAAATGGGGCTGTTTCAGTGTATCTTGAGCAAGATTCCCCCATTTTTATGCAATACATCTTTTTACACTGCAGCCATTTTAAATGAAAATGGATGTTCTAAAAATGGATACCTCTTGTTTAATGAGCACAAAATGGGGAATTACAGAGCTGGAGGGAGGGTAACTGCTGCTACATTCATCTCTTCTATTGCAATCCGGAATTACACAGGGAAAAGACTAATCTAGGATCACTGGGAGAGACAGTATTTCCTGTCCCCAGGCAATCTCATCCTAGGTCCAATGTGACACTCCCAGTCCATCAATAGTTTGTTGGCTGACACTGAAAGGCTCCTTCTTCTAAACCAGGGGTGTCCAACCTTGGCAACTTTAAGACTTGTGGACTTCAACTCCCAGAATTCCTCAGCCAGCAAAGCTGGCTGAGGAATTCTGGGAGTTGAAGTCCACAAGTCTTAAAGTTGCCAAGGTTGGACACCCCTGTTCTAAACTCTAAAGACAGAGATCCTTATCGGAAGGGGAGCATGTGGATGTGGGGAGCCCTCTTGGTCTGGGATCTCACAGCCAGCCAGGGGATGCAACCAATTTCTTTCCCCCATTTTGCAACTGGCAACACAAGCACTGGTGCTGAAAATATTCAACTCTCCCATGCCTCAAAACAGCACTGAGGCTGAATGATGGGACAATGAACAGGATGTTGCAGAATCTAAGGCTTTAGAAAGAGCTCCATGGAAGGATGGGCTAAGGGTTTTATGCAAGAGATTATTCTCCTTTTGAGGGTTCAGGAACACTGTTCAGCTTGAAGTGCTCTATATAAAACCCTCGGTCAAAAGGAAATCCAGCCTCAACTGTTTTTACAGTCTTTTGTTCAGTCTCTCCTTGCAGGGTCCAGGACTCTCTCAGTTAGCTCATTGATCTTCTGAATTCTTATGGCTGCTTCACTAGATTTACAGTACAAGGTTATTTCATCATCATCACGGCCTGTTCACCTTGGTAGACCCATCTGGACATATACATGTCCGACGACATAGCCCATGATTTCATTTACCCACACAAGCCCCTTCATCTCGTCAGCCCCCAATCATAGAAGAAAACAAGATTGTTTATCCCTTCTATATTAAACCTGGACTGGACTTAGGCATCCTTGCCTTTTTTGCTCTGCTGCAAATTCCTCTTGGATTCCCAAATCTTGGTTTGACCGGATGCACCTTTTCATTTTTATCTCTTTGGACTCAAGGCCTGGAAAGCAAAAAATTGCCTAGGAACAAGCTGATTTCTTCCACCCCAGCCATATGCACACTAAGCCTGTCCCACACAT